TTCCAGGTCTGGGCATTAGGACCTGGACAGATATTTCTGGAGCCACAGTTGAATCCACTGCAAATGTATCTACTTCCCTCTGGAGGCTTTGGGGGAGGGTCCCCCCTGCCTGTCCCAGCTCCTGGGTCCTTCCAGGCGTCTCTGGACTTGTGGCCGCGTCACTGTAGTCTCTGCCTCCGCCTCCATGTGGCTTTCTCCTGTGTGCGTGTCTGCTTCAGTCTCTTATGAGGACACCTGCCATTGGATTTGGGCCTACCCGATTCCGGGATGATCTCATCTGAAACTCCTCGAGTTAATTTCTATCTGAAAAGACCCTATTTGCCAGTAAGGTCCCATTCACAGGTTGTTAGGGCAAAATCACGGATGTATCTTTTTGGGGACGTCTCATTCCACCCACTCCACTGAATTTTGTTTAGGTCAGGAAGTGATCTGAAATCTACAGGAGAATTATTTTTGCTCATTGACATTTCTGATCATCAATGAGTGTGTCATTTGAAAGCTCCATTTTATAAGGTATTTCCGTTGCTAGCATCCCTGAATTAGAATATCCAAGTCAAAAGAAGCCTAAATAGAAAGCATGACTTTGAGTCAATATGAGTCTTTGTTCTGGTCAATATGAGAAAATCTCAGAAGTACAACTTGTGCCTTGGACATGTAGGTATCTAGTATACGTTCACTGGTTGTTGATATGGTTTGGATTTGTGTCCCCACGCAAATCTCATGTTCCAGTGTCATCCCCAGTGTTGGAGGAGGGACCTGGTGAGAGGTGATGGGATCATGGGAGTGGTTTCTGGTGGTTTAGCCACACCCCCTAGTACTGCCTTGTGATGGAGTTAGAAGATCTGCGGGTATAGGAGTGTAGCACTTTCCCCTTTGCTCGCTCTTCCTCATCTGCCACCATGTAAGGTGTGCCTTGCCTCCCCTTCACCTTCCACCATGATTGTAAGTTTCCTGAGGCCTCCCCAGCCTTGTGGAACAGTGAGTCAATTAAATCTCTTTTCTTTATAAATTACCCAGTCTCAGGTAGTTCTTTATAGCAGACTGAAAGTGGACTAATACAGTTGACTTCTAGATTTTCTTGGATTTAGCTTGGTCTTTGCAGTTTTAGGTATATATATATATTTTTAGTTTATTTCACATATTTTTAAAATTTCTAGATATTACTAAAGATAAGTCTGTTGGTTTCTGCAGCAGGACTACGATCTTTTTACTACAGTCAAGAAAGCATAGTATGACAATCTCATTTTTTTATACCACTACTTTCAAGGCTGTATTTGCATGTATTTCCACCTTTCTTCTGGTCTCCAGGTGTCAAGAAATGGTTTTCTTTGGGTAAAGAGATTTGGTCAGCTTTGCAGACCATCCAGTCTCAGTTCCAAGTATGGACTCTGCTCGTGCACCTTAAAAGTAGTCACACAGTGAGACCGCATCCCTACATAAAGTCAAAAAATTAGCCAGGCATGGTGACACACACCTGTGGTCCCAGCTACCTGGAAGGCAGAGGTGAGGGGGGTCACCTCCTGGAGGAGGTCAAGGCTACAGCGAGCTATGATTGCACCACTGCACTCCAGCCTGGGTGACAGAGTCAAAACCTGTCTCAAAAAAGAAAGAAAAATATGGTCTAGTATAATTCAGGCTCTTTGATTTGGCCTATACACGTTTATTGAGCACCTGTTGTGTGCCACATAATGTTCCGTGAATGAGGAATGTAAAAAAGTTCACTGCTGGGTGTGGTGGCTCATGTCTGTAGTCCCAGTATTTTGGAAGACTGAAGTGGGAGGATCCCTTGAGCCCAAGAGTTTGACACCAGCCTGGGCAACATAGTGAGACCTCATCTCTACCAAAAATTTAAAAACGAAAAAGCAGCCTGGCATGATGGTATACACCTGTAGCCCCTGCTGCTCAGGAGGCCGAGGTGGGAGCAAAGCTTGAGCCCTGGAGGTATGTTCAGTGCAGCGAGCCAAGATCACACTGCCGTACTCCAGCCTGGGCAGCAGAGCAAGACCCTGGCTCAAACAAAAGTAGTTCACTGACATTCACGTGCAGTTTATTGAGGGTGCCGTTTATACTGCTATGTAAGCAGGCTCAATACCGAGCTCTCTAAGGTGGAGTCTATTAGGTATTGCTTGTACTGTAGACAGAAGAAAGCCTTAAGTGTCCTGTTTTTGGATATAGTGGCGTATTCACCACATAAACTTGAACAATTATTTTATGATTAATTTAATTTATTTATTTACTCCATCTGGCTCTTTTGCCCAGGCTGGAGTGCAGTGGCGTGATCTCAGCTCACTGCAACCTCTGCCTCGCAGGTTCAAGCGATTCTCCTGCCTCAACCTCCTGAGTAGCTGAGATTACAGGCACCTGCAAGCATGCCCAGCTAATTATTGTATTTTTAGTAGAGATGGGTTTCACCATGTTGGCCAGGCTGGTCTGGAACTCCTGACCTCAAGTGGCCTGCCTGCCTCGGCCTCTCAAAGTACGGGATTGCAGGCATGAGCCACAGCGCCCGGCGTATTTTATGTTTTATTTTATTTTGAGACAAGGTCTTTTTTTTTTTTTTTTTTTTTTTTTTTTTTGAGATGGAGTTTCGCTCTTGTTACCCAAGCTGGAGTGCAATGGCACAATCTCGGCTCACCGCAACCTCCGCCTCCTGGATTCAAGCAATTCTCCTGCCTCAGGCTCCTGAGTAGCCGGGATTATAGGCACGCACCACCATGGCCAGCTAATTTTTATATTTTTAGTAGAGACGGGGTTTCACCATGTTGACCAGGATGGTCTCAATCTCTTGACCTCCTGATCCACCCGCCTCGGCCTCCCAAAGTGCTGGGATTACAGGCTTGAGCCACCGCGCCCAGCCTGAGACAAGGTCTTACTCTGTCACCCAGGCTGGAGTGCAGTGACTTGATCACAGCTCATCGCAGCCTTGACCTCCCACCTCAGCCTCCCAAGTAGCTGGGACCACACGTGTGTATTGCCACACCCAGGTGGGTGTTTTTTTTAAAGACTGGGTTTTGTCATATTTTCCAGGCTTATTTTTTAAATTGACACATAATAATTGTACATATTCATGGGGTACACAGTGATGCTTTGATACAAAGAACGGAGTAATCAGATCAGGGTAATGAGCATATCCATCATCTCAGTCATTTACCATTTCTTTGTGTTAGGAACATTCCGTATCTTTCTACCTGTTTGAGACCATACGATATATTATTGCTAATTATAGTCATCCTACAGGGCTATAAAGTGCTGGAACTGTACTCCTCCTATCTGGTTGTAATTTTGTATCCTTTAACAAACGTATCTCTATGTCTCAGTTCTTCCCTCCCAGCCTCTAGTATCCTCTGTTCCTCTTTATCCTTCCAGGAGATCAGCATTGTTTTAGCTTCCACGTATGAGTAAGCCCAAGTGGTGTTTAATGTTCTGTTCCTGGCTTATTTCACCTAACGTAATGTCCTTCGGTTTCATCCATGTTGCTGCCAATCAGAGGATTTTCTTTTTTATGGCTGAATAGTATTCTACTATACAGATACCTCCCTTTCTTTACCTATCTGTTCATCTGTTGATAGACACCAGGCTGATTCCCTATCTTGGCTGTTGTGAATAGTGCTTTGGTAAACATGGGCGTGCTCCCGTCTGTCTGATATCATGGCTTCCTCTCCTTTGGATAAATACCTTGTGATGTGATGGCTAGGTCATATGGGAGTTCTATTTCTAGTTTTTGAGGAACCTCCATACTGCTCTCCATGGTGGCTCTACTAGTTTGCATTCCCACCAGCATTGCATAAGAGTTCCCTCTTCGGCCAGGCACAGTGGCTCACGCTGGTAATCCTAGCAGTTTGGGAGACCAAGCTGGGTGGATCGATTGAGCCCAGGACTTCAAGACCAGTCTGGGCAACATGGCGAAACCACACTTCTACAAAAAATACAAAAATTAGCCAGCATGGTGGTGGGCGCCTGTGGTTCCAGCTACTTAGAAGGCTGAGGCAGGTCCATTGCTCGAGCCTGGGAGGCAGAGGTTGCAGTGAGCTGAGCAAGACCCTGTCTCGAAAAAAAAAAAAAAGAGTTCCCTTTTCTCCACATCCTCACCAGCAATTGTTATTTTTGTGTGCATGTGTCTTTTTTTTTTTTTTTTTCTTGAAATGGAGTTTCACTCTTGTCACCCAGGCTGGAGTGCAATGGTGCAATCTCGGCTCACTGGAACTTCCACCTCCCAAGTTCAAGTGATTTTTCTGCCTCAGCCTCCAGAGTTGCTGGGATTACAGGCATGCGCTACCATACCTGGCTAATTTTTGTATTTTTAGTAGAGATTGGGTTTCACCATGTTGGCGAGACTGATCTCGAATTCCTGACCTCGGGTGATCCGCCCGCCTCAGCATCCCAAAGTGCTGGGATTACAGTGTCTTCTTCATAATAGCCATCTTAACTGGGATGAGATGATTGCTACCTCACTGGGGTTTTGATTTGCATTTCCCTGATGATTAGCGAGTTGAGCATTTTTTTCATATACATGTTGGCCTTTCCCATGTCTTCTTTGGAGAAATGTCTGTTAAGACCACCTGTCCGTTTTTTAATTGGACTGCTTGACTTTGCGATTGAGACGTTTGATTTCCATGCTTGGTCATGGTGGTGGATTCACCCGGATAAACATGAGAGCCTTTCTCTCCAGTGTTAACACACAGGTAAGGAATGGGCTGGTGGCCTCTCTGAATAAGATGCCCGAAGGAGTTGCCTTCTGCTCAGCAGCCGCCCCTCAAATGGTCTTTCTGTCCTCTCCAAGGGAGCTTGCCCTGCACTGGGGTGCAGCACACGGTGCCTTGCTGGCAGAACATCTGACTGTCACGTGCTTTCAGATCGGGCCGACTTCAATGTGCGGGGGAGGAGTGCATGTGGAATAGATTATCTCCTGCCTGTGTTAAGCAGAAATAGCTATCGTTGCAAAGCAGGGATTTTTTCCATGCTTCCTCCCCACTAAAAATACGTGTTTGTTTTTCTAACAGGTTTCCTCCATTTTTTGATGACAACCCATTTGGCATTTATCAGAAAATTCTTGCAGGCAAAATAGATTTCCCCAGACATTTGGATTTCAGCGTAAAGTAAGTAAACCATTTGCCTCGTCATGGGGTGTGTTTATTTTTAAAGTGTCTAAAATCACCATGAAAACACGCACTCAGCAGGATACCATATTGCATTATTAAATGTGCTGCGCATAAACTCTTTTGGACAGTTGTCTTTTCCACAAAAAAAGAAAAAGATTTTAAGTATTCAACTTTAATGATAACTTCATATTTTTATGACTCTGGGCCGTATTTCATTCTTTTGGTAATATGTTATATTTAAAATGAGCCAATGAACAAATTTGTCATCGAATTTTATAAGAGAGCAGTTTTGGAATTTGACAAGCAGGATCCTCCTAGTTCTGTGGCTAGCAGAACTGTTGATGGATTTAGCAGAGTCTTATGCTTTCTCTTCTCCTGCTTTCATTATGCTCAGCCTAAGTACTTTTTAATGTCAACATGTTCAATTCTGAGCATGTTGCTTCAGGAACATTTACAGTTGCTGGATATTGGCAACTTTGGATGCACATTTTATTATGGTTGTGGCAGTAGAGAAAGAAGATATTATGTTTAAGAAAATAATATCTTTTTCTTATATTTTGTACAAGATATAAGATAACAGCTTATATCTTAAATATAAAAATGCGGCCGGGTGCAGTGGCTCACACCTGTAATCCCAGCACTTTGGGAAGCCGAGGTGGGCGGATCACGGGGTCAGGAGATCAAGACCATCCTGGCTAACATGGTGAAACCCTGTCTCTACTAAAAATACAAACAATTAGCTGGGCAGGGTGGCACATACCCGTTAAGTCCAGCTACTCAGGAAGCTGAGAAGGGAATAGCTTGAGCCCGGGAGGTGGAAGTTGCTGTGAACTGAGATGGTGCCACTGCACTCCAGCCTGGGCGACACAGTGAGACTTCATCTCAAAAAAAAGAATGGTTTTGGTTTTCTGTCTACCCTACTCAATGTGGTCACCTGGAAGCCAATTTTGCTGTAATAAGCACTGATTTCTGTTTGTTTCACGGTATTTTTCAGATGAGTTGATGTGTGCACCAGCCCCCCAGGCACAAACAAGAGCTAAAGGCATCTAGTTGAGAATTAAACTCTTCTTTTCCATGGGCTATTTGTTTAGGAGCTGGTGGAAGTTCAGTTCAGAGAAGACTTGTTTCCGGGCGGGGCACTGGACCAGGCTGTTTTGAATATGCCCTTATGGGGCCCCTGGCTCCCTTCAGTTGAGTTTCTTGGTGGCGAATGTTCCGCATCCTAAGCAGAGCTTCTTAGTCTGAATAGAAGATAGGGTCGTGTTTTTATTGGCTTGAGCTTTTGTTGTGCTTTGACACGCTAGAGGCAAGCTTTAAAATGCTTTAGCGAGAAAACGAGGCTCTGCTTAACGATGAGTCACCTAGAAGGGACACCCTGTCCAGCGAATGGGAAGGCAGGGGAAACAGCGCTTCAGAAGCCAGCTGCTCTGAAAGGAAATAGAAAGCTTATATAGACCTTCTCTCCCAGGCCCCAAATCCCATCTGAGTTGAGTGACATTATATCAAGTGGATGGCAAAGCACTTTCATGATCGAGTTTGGCCAGGTGAGAGGCTCATGCCTGTAATCCCAGCACTTCACGGGGCTGAGGTGGCAGGATTGCTTGGGGCCAGTGGTTTGAGGCCAGCCTGGACAATGTAGCAAGACCCCATGTCTACAAAAAAATTAAAAAATTAGCTGGGCACGGTAGCATGGCCTGTGGTCCCAGCTACTAGGGAGGCTGAGGTGGGAGGACTCCTTGAGCCCAGGAAGTCGAGGCTGCAGCGAGCTGTGATTATGCCACTGCACTCCAGACTGGGTGAAAGAGTGAGACCCCGTCTCAAAAAAAAAATTAGAATTAAAAAATAAATATACACATAAATATATCTATGTATATTGGCTACCTATATTTATATATATGTAAATATATATACACGTACTGTGTGTATATATACATGTGTATGCATATGTATGTGTGTGTATATGTGTGTGCGTACATATATAGATATAGAGAGAGGTTTCCAGTGTTCTGTGGAAACAAAAAAAAAACGTGAATTACAGAAATAGAAGAAACGAGAAGCGTGATCAATCTGGTCTCTTGCCACTTTTCTTTCTTCGTCTCCTAGTGTACCTTCGTTGAGAGTAGGGAACCAGCAGTGGCCATCTTGGTACTGTCTGATGTCACGTGCCTCTCTTTACGCAGCTCGCAGCCCCTTCCAGTGTTCCCACAACGCCCCTGTGTCTTCACATACCCAGTGTGGGTCCACCAAGAGCAGGAACAGTGTTAATTGAGTAAAACTTCACTTCTTCCCATTATTTGTTGAATGTTATCAAATTGGCTGGGAAGCAAGATCTCAGTGACTCGTTATCTTTCCTCTTTTTGGTAGAGATTAGTATGGGGGTCTTTCTGCGTTGCCCAGGCTGGTCTTGAACTCCTGAGCTCAAGTGATCATCCTTCCCAAGTGTTGGGATTACAGGCGTGAGCCACTGCACTTGGCCGTAAAGATGCATTTTCTTATCCAAATCACCGTCCTGGTTGTCCATGAGGCTAGAATTTTGATTCTTAGCTTTTTAAAGTCATATGTTGGTTTCTGCAACTTTTGACCAGCTAAGCACGTCGCCTGGGCAAATGGCACGTCAAAATTGGGATTTCTTATAGAAATAAATATCATTTAAAAGAAAAGAAAAACGCCAAAACAAAGCTCTGGGACTGGTTGCCAATTCAGTAGAGGTTATCTGCTGGTGTTTTTTTCACGCCTGAAAGTACCTGCATCCGAGAGCGGCCAGCTGGCGCCAGGATCATAAGTACAACTTAGAATTTTCACTGTAGTATATCGAGAGAGTTCCAGCAGATGTGTCGCCTATCCTGGCAGGGTCCGTGGACCCATCTACAGCTGTGGACACTTCTGTTGTTCCTTTATAGGGCTTTGCGTCTTTGGGGGGCCCTTCTCAGCCACACTCGTTACTTTCTAAACTTTCTAAACTGCTTTATAAGAGTTTGCTTTGGTATTTTACTTTTTTTTTTTTTTCTTTTTTAAAGAGACGGGTGTCTTGCTCTGTCACCCAGGCTGGAGTGTAGTGGCATAATCAGAGATCACTTCAGCCTTGATGTCCTGGGCTCACGTGATGCCCCCAACTCACCTCCCGAGTAGCAGGTGCTACAGGCATGCACCACCATGCCTGGCTAATGCTTTGACCTTTTGTAGAGACGGGGTCTTACTCTGTTGCCCCCGCTGGTCTTGAACTCTTGGTCTCAAGTGATCTTCCCACTTCAGCCCCCTGCATAGCTGGGACTACAAGCCATTGTGCCCTATATCTTAAATAAATCTTGATTTTCTTAGATGCCAAACACCAAAAAACTTTTTAAAAAAATTCGAGGTCATCAAACACTTTGCTTTCTTACATGCCAAACAGCCCTCTTCTCCTGCCCCAAAAAAGTAAATAAATAAAAGCGAAGTTGACCTGGTGCGGTGGCTTGGGGGCGCCTATAATCCCAGCACTTTGGGAGGCCGAAGCGGGTGGATCACCTGAGGTTGGGAGTTCGAGACCAGCCTGACCAACGTGGAGAAACCCCGTCTCTACTAAAAATTCAAAAATATTAGCCGGGCGCGGTGGCGGGCGCCTGTAATCCCAGCTACTCAGGAGGCTGAGGCAAGGTAATTGCTTGAACCCGGGAGGTGGAGTTTGCGGTGAGCCGAGATCACACCATTGCACTCCAGCCTGGGCAACGAGAGGGAAACTCCGTCTCCAAAAATAAATAAATAAATAAATAAAATAGAAGTTTATTAAGGTGATCCCCAAAACATTCTGAAATAAACGTGGATTTTTCCTCCCCATAATTTACAACATTGCCTGCCCCATTAGCGTACACACTTAAAACTGGGATTATAAGAAAACAGAGGTTTATTTAAAATATGAAAGCATAAATAAACCTTTCTTATAGTCTACTCCAGTGAGCTTTAAGTGTGTGCGCTAAGGGGGTGGGCAGTGGTGTAAATCATATGGGGGAAAAGCCCCACATTTATTTGGGAATGTTTTGGGGGTACAGTGTTTGATGACCTTGATTTTTTTTTTGGCAGAGGGGAGCATGTCAAAATAATGAAGGAGAAACTCACTAGGTAGTGGACAGGTTTCTACCTTTTCAGTGATTGTTATATTCTACACCCTGCTCAAAGCTTTTCAGCCTTACAGGATGGATACAAAAGCTCAGCCTTAGCTGGGCGGACAGATGGTCTCTGAGTTTTACTTTGAGGCAGAGAAGCAGTAAACTTTGACAAGCATCCCATCGTAATTCAGGAAGCATGGCTTTAGGAGACTCTGGCTATAGGTACTGCTTGCCAGAATTTCCGATTAGACAGGACTGGCAAGATTCGCAGTCTTGATGGTGGAGTCTGACCCGGGGCATCACCTGGCTTGTGGGAGACTCTGCAGTCCATCACAGAACCCAGGAGTGACCCAGTCCAAGTTTGTGCTACTCGCCCTGGGGCATAGTTTATGCCAGGAAAGCCTAGCCACTTAAACTGGGGTCATGGGTATTGGATTGTTTTGGGAGACTTCAATATATTACATTATTACATCATACTATGTATATTATTGCACATGATATACTCTGTGTGTTACATGTGTACACACAGACACACATTATCATTTCTACTTCTATAAATATACATCTTAGAACTTGCCTAATCTCCTGGGAAAATCTTCAGCATCATCTCCAACTACCCATCCTAATTGAACCAGTTTGCTGTATTATTATTATTATTATTATTTATTTATTTATTTATTTTTGAGATGGAGTCTAGCCCTGTTGCCCAGGCTGGAGTACAGTGGCTCAATCTCAGCTCACTACAACCTTTGCTTCCTGAGTTCAAGTGGTTCTTGTGCCTCGGCCTCCCAAGTGGCTGGGACTACAGGCATGTGCCAGCATGCCCAGCTAATTTTTTTTTTTGTAAAGATGGGGTTTTACCATGTTGACTAGGCTGGTCTCGAACTCCTAACATCAAGTGATCCACTTAACCTCGACCTCTCAAAGTGCTGGAAATACAGATGTGAGCCAGTGTGCTTGGCCTCCTGCTTGCTGTACTTCTGAGATGGTCTGTTGCTTAAAAGGAAGATGATGAGTAAAGAAGCAGACTGAAGAGACTCATCCTTGGATATTTGTGTGCTTATGGGAAAGCCAGCCTTTTCAAACAGGAACCCCATAAACAAGCAGCCCCCCAGGGCACCGAGTGGCTGTGGAAGCAGATGTCTTCTATTTTGCAGGGACAGCCTGCCAGTCACATGTCAACTTCACCCTTTCCTACTCACAGGTGTATTTTTTTTACAAAGATGTGATCAACCCTATTCCCTCAGCTTCAGCAGTGCGTGGGCAACCCTGCCTTGCGTAAGTTATTTAAGAGCTGCCGACAGTAGGAAATAAGCACTAGAAAGTATTGGTTCTCATCGTGTGTACACGTTATCTCTGTGGCCCTTGTTTGCTGATGTTGATAATGTAATCTGTGCACTTTTTTTTCTTGTCTCCTTCCCCTAAATAGAGACCTCATTAAGAAGCTGCTCGTGGTTGACAGAACAAGGCGGTTAGGAAACATGAAGGTGAGCGTTTGATCCCGTGAGTATTAAGTGGCACTCGATGTGCGTGTCTGTCATCTTAACACCAGCATTGACACGTGCAGATAGAAACCAAGGCCTAGTGGTCGCATGTCATCACTGCCCAAATTTCAAATCCGGCGTTTTGTTTATTTATTTATTTATTTTACTTGAAACCGCCAGGAAAGCTCTATGAAATCTGGGGTCCTGGGCACACAACGTCACACTGGGTCTACACCTTGCCTCCCCTCCCCTTCAAGCAGCTAATAGAGCCATGGCAATTCTATATAATACAAACAATATACAGAGATTTATATACAGAGATATATACAGATTTATTTATATAATATAAAGTGTGTATCCGTATACACACATCACATTTTTATACACTTTACAAACCATCATACAAAAAGGTCAAAGGAATTTATATATTATATAAATAGATAATTGGACATATATGTAGATTTGTCTATAAATCTATATAATAGATATATATGTATGCCTATATATAGATATATAATACAGGTATGTAGATATAAAGTGTGATGCCAGGCACGGTGGCTCACACCTGTAATCCCAACACTTTGGGAGGCTGAGGCAGGCAGATCACCTGAGATTAGGAGTTCAAGACCAGCCTGGCAAACATGGTGAAACTCTGTCTCTACTAAAAATACAAAAATTAGCTGGGTGTGGTGGCGAGATGTCACTAGGGGATAGGAGTTTTTCAGTTCGTTATAATCTTATGGGAGCACCACTGTATGTGTCATTCGTTGTTGACTGAAACGTCATTTTGAGGCTCATGACTGTAGACACACACCCACACACACACTTCTTTTTTTTCTCAAAACGGTCTTGCTCTGTCACCCAGGCCGGAGTTCAGTGGTATGATCACAGCTCATCGTAGCCTTGACCTCCTAGACTCAAGTGATCCTCCCACCTCAGCCTCCCAGGTAGCTGGGACTACATGCATGCACCACCATGCCTGGCTGGTTTTTTATATTTTTGGAGAGAACCAGGTCTCACTTTGTTGCACAGGTTAGTCTCAAACTCCCAAAGTGCTGGAATAGAAATGTGAGCCATTGCTCCCAACACCCCCCACCCCGACTTCATATAACAAACAGACAGACAAACACACACACACTCAGTAGTTTGGATACCAGTGTGATTCTTGGTATATACAGATACTTTATATTTTACATATAAAGTATTTATGAAGTGTGTATGTGTGTGTATATGTAAATATATGCATGTATATATAAACGTGTATGTAAGTGTGTGTATATATAAATATACGTGTATATATAAAAATATGTTTGTGTGTATATATTATATATGCATGCAAGTATATACAGACACACACATCCTTTAGTATCCAAATTAGAATTTTATCTGATGGATAAAATTTATTTTATTCTCTTATTTTATTCACAGCACTCTTATTTACTCTTATTCACAGCATTGCTAAAGGTAAAACTCAATAGCTGTTTGTTGCCTGACTTAGCTGTAGATAAAAAATACCTGTTTTGCAATAAAAAAAGAAGTTGTCAAAACAACTGGATGGAAAACAGTAGGAAAAATTCGCATCACTGATTGCTTTTGAAGATACAGTCATGGACATACTCCTCTTTAAGAATAAGAAATTTAAAACTACAAAAATGCTGACGGACGTGTTAAATTCATACGTACTGGCGTCTATTTCATGGAACCCACATGTTTATTTCTTCTGCTGTCCCACATTGAATTGATAACAACATCACTACAAGTTAAAAACAAGGAAGCAGAGTGAGATTTCAGGCTGAGCGAGGTTTAAGGGAGGGGTTTCAGAGGTCGTGATGGCCGCAGTGTGAGCCAGCTGATGCCTGGTGCTGCCCTTGAGCATGAAGTAGGCCGACTTAAACACACACTGTTAATTGCAAGGCCGTGCAGTGTGGGTTCTAAGATCTCTTAAATTGGGCGTCCTTGGTTTGAGTTCTCAGTCTTGTTGACTTGCTGGATCATACTAAGCAAATGAACATCTTTCAGTGAACCCTAATTTCTCTGTCTGTAAAAATACTGAGTAAGTTTGCCAGGATGAAAACAGGAGACAGACTGAGAAACGAACGGGTGTCCAATTTTAATGTCGAGAGATGAAATCGTGTTTATCTTTTTAGTCTTTGGTCTGGAGCGCAAAGGCATTGCACAGGAGCGGAACGACTGGACCTGCTTCTGCCATAAAAAAGGGCGAACGAAACACCAAGGGCTTTGCTCGCAGGTTTTCCTAGCAGCTCACCCTCCGGGCACAGTTACACAAAATGCAGCAAACTTGTTCTGTTCGTTTCGATACTAAAATAATGCAGAGATTCTTTGGGGGTGTTTTTCTTTCCTGCCCTGTCAAAATTCCTCACACTGACGACACGTGTTGTTTCTTTTGAAGAACGGGGCGAATGACGTGAAGCGCCATCGGTGGTTCCGGTCCGTGGACTGGGAAGCTGTTCCGCAGAGAAAACTGAAGGTAAGCAATATCCGTGGGTCACTCGGCACGCCCCAGCTCTCCCGTTAGGAGGGACAGCCTCTGAATCCTGGGCCTTCTTTATTGATGGCTGACATGCAATTAATTTATGTAATACAAACATTTGTCTAAAACTGTTCATAAGCAGAGTTCCCTACTCTGTGAGTGTCTTAGTGCTGACCGTCTCCCTGGTGTTTGTCTTTCTGTGTCAGGCAACATTTGCTTCCTGAGTTTTCGTTATCCGTTCATCCATTGGTGGATACTGAGGTGGATTCCATATCTTGGCTGTCGTGAACAGTCTGAACTGCATGTGCTACTGATTGGAGTGTTCAGTGGTAGCGTTTTCACCTTTGCACTTCAGAGTCAAAGGAATGGAGAACCCTTAGAAATGCTTATTTCCAGGCCTCAACTCAGACCCAAGGATACACTTTTTCTTTTTTTGGAGACGGAGTTTCGCTCTTGTTACCCAGGCTGGAGTGCAATGGCGCGATCTCGGCTCACTGCAACCTCCGCCTCCTGGGTTCAGGCAATTCTCCTGCCTCAGCCTCCTGAGTAGCTGGGATTACAGGCACGCACCACCATGCCCAGCTAATTTTTTGTATTTTTAGTAGAGACGGGGTTTCACCATGTTGACCAGGTTGGTCTCGATCTCTCGACCTTGTGATCCACCCGCCTCGGCTTCCCAAAGTGCTGGGATTACAGGCTTGAGCCACCGCGCCCGGCTACACTTTTTCTTTTTTTGAGATGGAGTCTCACTTTGTCGCTCAGGCTGGAGTACAGTGGAGCGATCTCAACTCACTGCAGTCTCTGCCTCTTGGGTTTCAGCGATTCTCCTGTCTCAGCCTCCGAAGTAGCTGGGATTACAGATGTGCACCACCACACCCAGCTATTTTTTTTTTGTATTTTCAGAAGAGGCGGGGTTTCACTATGTTGGCCAGGCTAGTCTCAAACTCATGACCTCAAATGATCCACCCGCCTCAGCCTCCCAAAGTGCTGGGATCACAGGCGGGAGCCACCGGGCCTGGCCTGATGTGCATCATTTTAATCAAAGTTTTACCTTTTCAAATACTTTATTGTATTAAATTGCATTTTAGCAAATCAGTTTGAATACATTTTATCTGTCCACTTGGGTCAAAAACCAAGTCAATATTAAAACATATACATTACCAAGTCTCCCTCTCACCCACTCCAAGCCACCTGTAGGTAATCACCTTTCATTAGACTTTTCTGTGTATCCTTCCAGAGTTTCTTTGTGCTGATAAAAACCCACACGGATATGTGCATTCTTATTTTTGCCACTCCTTTATAAAAAATCTAGAGTAGCAAAGTACGTACATTCTTGTGGTCTTGCTTTTTGCACCTGACTATATAATCTGGAGACCTGTCTGCATACCTGGATAGCTTCCTCATTTTTAAAAAAGTGTATTGTATTCCATCACGTGACTGTACCTTAGCTTACTTAATACTATGTATGTATATATTTTGAGACAGGATCTCACTCTGTCGCTCGGGCTGGAATGCAGTGGTGCAATCATGGCTCACTGAAGCCTCGACCTCCTGGGCTCAGGCAATTCTCCCACCTTAGCTTGTTAAGTAGCTGGAAGTGCAGGCGCACTGTACCACAGGCAGCTAAGTTTATGCATTTTTTGTAGAGACAGGGGACTCGCTATGTTCCCCAGGCTGGTCTCAAACTTGTGAGGCTCAAGCAGTCCTCCTGCCAAGGTTTCTTAAAGTGTTAGGATTACAGGCGTGAGCCCCTACACCCGGCCTCCTTCACAATATTTTAATTCCAAGATTGCCGTGTTCATAAACGATGGGAGGACAGCTTTAGTGTTTTCCAAATCACTGTCACTGTTAGGTACAGTGACAGAAGTGAAGGGGCGTGTGCAGGGTCCAAGCGTCCACTGTTCCTTTCTAACCGTGCCTTTGCGTTTCGGCCGTTCTCACAGCCTCCCATTGTGCCCAAGATCTCTGGCGACGGCGATACCTCCAACTTCGAAACGTATCCCGAGAATGACTGGGACGAAGCCGCTCCCGTGCCGCAGAAGGATTTAGAAATCTTCAAGAATTTCTGAGGACAGGAGCTCACATCTGGAAGGTATACCTTTCTATTTAGAAATTACTGGAAAATGAGACTGACTCGACCCCGCATCCAGATGAGGCTGTGTTTACTGAGTGGGACTTAGCGCATGCACTCAGAGGTCAGCGGTGCAGCAGAGCCAAGGGGAATGGTTCCCAGAGCCAGCGACATAAACACAGCTATGCCTGTGACTCCAGGTTGGCGTGTGGTCAGAGACATCAGCATCACAGTCCCGAACCCATCTCCTGGGTCAGAACGAGCACATCTACATGGGACCCCTAGGCGATTTGTGTGTGCCTGAACATTGGAGAAGTACAGCTCTTCGGGTCCCTGATCGGAAACCCTGAGTGACAGGCGAACTTCCTTACAATAATTGACAAGTATTTTCAAAAGTCTTTCTAGGTCCTTTTTGGTTAAAAAATAATAATAATAATTGTACCATCATAGGAAACTTGCTAAGCTTAATTCAAGATGACTGGTAAAGGATGTTGAGTCTCTTACTTCTTTAAGCCTTTGAAGATCTATTATTAGTTTTTAAATAATAATAATATTTTTCTGAATCCCTCATGAAATTTGCTAAGTTTTAATTTAAGATGACTGAAAAAGGGTTTTGACTCTGTTATTTCCTTGAGCCTTTGAAAGTCTATTATTAGTTTTGAAATATGGATTAGAAAGAGCTTTCAGTTCCTCCTCAATTCTAAATTGCTTGGTTATATGGCTTCAATTAGCTCTTTCTTCCTGTAACATACAAGCAAGAAAAATACCCAGTGAAGCAAAATATTATCAGTGATTTGCCTATTTGTTGACATAGCTCGTTTTTCCCATTTTGGTTTCCATTCCCATAATTTTCCTGTAGTCTTCCCAGTTATGTGAAGTGGAAAGCCAATTGGCTAACCGACACCATTTGAAACAGACACCAAATGTCACAATTGCTGATTTGGGAGCGAGGAACCAGCCTGCTGAAAGGCAGGCTGAATGAGAAACCTCCATCCTGTGAGGGCATTTCCATGGATGTACCAAGAGGAAAACTGGATAAAGATTGAAATAAGAGAGAACAAAACGCTAGAGGAATCGGTGCTGTGAGCGTGAGAACGTAATGTGTCTCCATGGCATCACTTTACCTCTCAGTGTGTGCTGAACATTTTTACCGTGCTGACGGGTTTGAATTAACATGAGAGCATGTAACTTGATCAACTTCATAAATGCTCATGACATCCAGTTGCAGGTTGTGGAAATCAGATGATGTTCATGAATGCGTTGACTTCTTTTTATTTCTCTGGTCTGCTGTGGGGCTTTCATTTGGTCTGACTTTCCCCCATAACATTTTACAAATGATGTCTCTCCCGGAAATCTTTAAGATGACGTAAAGACTTGATTTGCTTTAGTATGCAGGACCCCTAACGGATAAGCTACAAGAATAGAACTTCTCTAGCAGAGACCCCTCAAGTGTAAAATTTACGTAAATAACCAAAAAGCTTCCGTTTGATGGATTTTTGTCTTATAATTAGTGAATTTTCATTACATCTTGTCCCCAGCCAGCCCTACTGTCCCTGAAAAATACTCCACACATAGGAATAACCTTTCTCAATTTGGTGTGTATTCTTGAGAAAGTATGTGTAAGTATTATTTTTGCTAAGTGGAATCATTTTTAATATAGTTTGGCTAGTGGTTGTGACTTTGTTTAATGATTTTTTTTTTTTTTCCTTTTTGAGACAGTCTCACTCTGTTGCCCAGTGGTGCGGTCTCGGCTCACTGCAACCTCTGCCTCCTGGGGTCAAGTGATTCTCGTGTCTCAGCCTCTCGAGTAGCTGGGATTACAGGTGCCCGCTACCACGCCAGGCTAATTTTTTTATTTTTAGTAGAGACAGCGTTTTGCCATGTTGGCCGGGCTGGTCTTGAACTCCTGAGCTCAGGCAATCCGCCCACCTTGGCTTCCCACAGTGCTGGGATGACAGGCGTGTGTCACTGTGCCCAGCCCAGATGCGATATTTTAATCCATCTCAGTAATTTTATTGAAAGTAATTTGCACGCCAAACAATCCCTGGCATTTTCAGCGAAGAGGGATTAGGTTCAGGAATTTCATGCAGGAAGATACTTCTTCATGAAGTCAAATCTTCTCCTGTAAAGTAGACACCAGTTAGGATGAATCACTGCACTTGAGGACAGCTTGAAAACTATGCATTAGCTGCTCATCTTTGTTTGAATCGCCGCACATGCCTTTCTGAATGTGGAGGAGGAATTTAGGACACCTGGCTCACTATGTCTTTTATTTTACTTTGGAAGAAAATATTTTCTGTCTTGCTGTAAGGTTCTCTGAGGAAGCATGTTGAATGGGGGATTTCATTTTGCTTGTGCAATTCATCATCTACTGGTGAATACATGTATCTATTTATGGATAAGCATATGATAGAACATTTAAAAATCTACCTTTAGGCTGGGTGTGGTGACCCCTACCTATAGTCCCGGCACTTTGGGAGGCTGAAGTGCGAGGCTCACTTGAGGTCAGGAGTTTGAGATCAAGCCTGGGCAACACAGTGAGACCCCATCTCTACAAAAAGTAAAAAAGTTAGCCAGGCGTGGTGATACATACTTGTCCCAGCTCCTTGAGAGGCTGAAGTAGGGGGTTTGCTTGGGCCTGGGAAGTTGAGGCTGCAGTGAGTTGTTAGACCTTATCTCAAAAACAAAAACACGGCTGGGTGCGGTACCTCACACCTGTAATCCCAGCACTTTAGGAGGCCGAGGTGGGTGGATCATCTGAGGTTGGGAGTTAGAGACCAGCCTGGCCAACATGGTGAAACCCCGTCTCTACTAAAAATACCAAAAATTAGCCAGGCGTGGTGGCGGGTACATGTAATCCCAGCTACTCAGGAGGCTGAGGCAGAAGAATCGCTTGAACCCAGGAGGCGGAGGTTGCAGTGAGCTGAGTTTGCGCCACTGCACTCCAGCCTGGGCAACAAGAGCAAAACTCCATTTCAAAATAAACAACAACAACAAAAAACCCTTATCTTTAAAACATTCTTCAGTTTCTTTTTATTAGACAGCCTTTCCTCTTAGAATTCAGGCTTGTGGATCCTTGCAAAAAGAATTACAAAGGGGAGTTTTCTGTGTTATTAGGAAAAGGAAACCTGGTGGTCTCGTTGAGATGATGGTGATTACAAAATTCGTCCAGTTACTGAGAAACTCACAAAATCTTTCATCCTATTTCATGCTAGAAACAGGAAGATTGGAATGTGCCTGGAACGAAGAACTGCACCTAAGCAGACCAGAAGAAATGTCTTCTTCATGTGACAAGGACATTTCCAGTTTCTTGTGTGCCCGTATGTATAGAAACATCAGAGCACAGTTGAAATGAATGGAACGGTCGTTAATTTAAGCAACTGGAATTCCACACTGTAGGAAGGGTTTGAAAACTCGTTGTAGATTTGATCTTATCCTTTAGTGTCGTGCTCCTACTGTGATGTCTTGGTTTTTCTCATAGACTTGTTTATAAGTTTGAACTGGACTTGTTCAATTATAACCACATTTTGTGTGTGTGTTTGTGTGCGTGTGCGTGCCTGTGTGTATATATAGAAGTCATTGTGGCAGATGCACAGAAATTGTGCAGTGATATAAATGTTCATACTTCACAGAGCCTATAATTATTATTTTTCAATTTGTTTTTTCAACAATCTCTTGGGGACAACATCTGAAGGGTATGTTGCATGCATTTAAAAAAAAAAAAATCATCTCATATGCATTTTGTAGTTTGGGGGAAGAAAATATCCTGGGGAGATCTACCTTCAGTATCTTTAGTGCTTCCTACCTGGTAACTTGAGACTTTCAAAGAAGAAACTGAGAGAAGATACGGGAGTGAATTTTATTCCGAGAATCTACAAGGACATCGAAGTTTTTGGAGGAATGTACTGTATTCAAAAAACCTTCTGTGTCACATCCAAAAATTTCATGTGAGCTGTGTGCAGTGGCTTGTTCCTGTAGTCCCAGTACTTGGGGAGGCTGAGGTGGGTGGATTGCTTAAGGCCAGGAGTTTCAGAGCAGCCTGGGCAACATAGGGAAACCCTGTCTCTACAAAATTTACCAAAAATCAGTTGGTGTAGTGGTACATGCCTGTAGTCCCAGCTATTCAGGAGCCTGTGGTGGGAGGCTGGCTTGAGCTCAGGATGTTGAGGCTGCAGAGAGCCGTGATTGCTCCACTGTACACCAGTCTGGATAACAGCGCAAGACCTTGTCTTAAAAAAAAATTTATCCTTCACAGGGAGGTGGTTCCCTGTTAAAATTCCAGTTGAAACTTTTTGAACAAAATGCACTTCCCATAGTTCACAAATAATTTTCAGATCAGCCCACCTAGAAGGCCGACCTTCATGCAGAGATTTTATTTCACCTTTAGTTTTGGGAAAAGTGAAAAACAGAGGATCTGTAGGATGTGCGTGGGTGGCAGAGTCGAAAGGAACCTCACCTGTTCCTGCCCGAGTATGGCATTGCTGAAATCTGCTGTGCGTGAGGTCACAGGGCCCAGCTGCGGTAGGGGCCGGTGCATTGAAGAAGTAGGTTCTGGAGCCTTCCAGCGATGCCCCGGGGACAGCAGGGATATACCCACACAGACCTCCAAGACCTTCTCCACATGTTTTCTTTCTCATGTCCGCCTTCATCCAGCTCCTTCCACACCCAGAATGGGAGCCGAGTGTCCTCGGCACGTGTAGGTGAAAATGGATGCAGAGAGAAGACACCTGGGCGCCCCGTGGTTCCTGATCTCGTCTCAAAACTCAATAGCTCCGGGTCTCTGGAGCTGCTGGGTGTGTTTCTTGCTGTTGGAGCCGTTTTTCCAAGCAGGGTCTGGGAAGAGATTTCTCCCTGTAGCACTTGCTGCCTGTCTTTGGCACACACATCTAGTACTGTGGAGAGCTTCTCTTGGGCAAAGCCATACATTTTTTAAAAAGTAGCAAAATGGTGAGGGAAATATAATCAGATTTGACCAGAGTTCACCTACAAATAGAAAGGCACTGGGTCAGGCGTGGTGGCTCATGCCTGTAATCCTAACACTTTGGGAGCCTGAGGCGAGAGGATTGCTTGAGCCCAGGAGTTTGAGACCAGTCTGGGAAACATGGTGAGACCTCATCTCTACAAAATACAAAAAAGTTAGCCGGGCATGATGGTGCATGCCTGTAGTCTCAGCTACTCAGAAGGCTGAGGTGTGAGGTCACTTGAGCCCGGGGAGGTCCAGGCCACAGCACTCCAGCCTGGGTAACAGAATAAGACCCTGTCTTCAAGGAAACAAACGAAAAACGGCAATGGCATTGTGGTTTTGAAGGCGGAATGGAGCGAACGTCCCCCTTAAGGCTTTAAAAGGCGGTGAACCTGCAGCGGTGGCTCACTCCTGTAAGCCTAGGACTTCGCGAAGCTGAGGCAGGAAGATTGCTTGAGCCTAGGAGTTCGAGACCAACCTGGGCAGCGGTGAGACCCCCATCTCTGTAAAAAGAAAAAAAAAATGTTAAAACACAGTGAAATTGCAGAAACAGATCACAGCCTCCCTTTTCCATCAATGACCTTTTCTTTCCATGGAGGTCAACTCAGTAGGTGAGAGTAATTCATAGGTTCAGTAGAATAAACTCTTTCCAATTAATAGCTCAGTGGCAAATGATGTTGAAGATGGTGAAATGTGGAAATGCTGTATGCAGCTGTTTTCAGCCTGTGCTCAGTCACCATCCTGTTTGGATTAAAACTTGAGGACCATCATTGTCTCAAAACTTAGCATACAGTTTCCATTCAGTTTTATCATGAACATGAAAAGGTTAAACTGCTGCCGACACCAACAGCGGGTACACTGGGGCTGGAACGACACAGGAGATGAGCACGGCCCCCTGCACAATGAAAAAAGTGACACTGTGACATCGTGCACTGAGATGTGGACCTAGAAGGAAAAGCGTTAAGTCTCATGTCCACTGACTATAAAAAATAAATAACAGTAATAATGTTGAACGTTTTACTTTAAAAATTATTAATAAAACAATAAATGAAACACTTTTCTTGAGCACACTTTAAAAAATACATAGACCCATGAGTCCATATGCTGTTTTAGGTCGTCTGTTGTATTACCCAGGATTTCACGTTGAGACGAAAGTTAGCATGAGGCAAGCCTGCAATGCCTTGCCTTAATTGTGAACAGATACACAGGAAAATGAAACACAGAAGCACACGTATGACTTTGTTCTTTACAACATCGTAATCAGCTTCCAGCCATACAGAACAAATGAGAAATTAGAAGCGATTCCAAGAACGCGAGATGGTGTGAAACCCACTTTCCACCGTCATGCGCATTTCAGCATTTGAAGTGACACAGGCCACGTGGTAACTGCCCGGGGTGGTGTCTGAATTTAAATGGCCAGTGTCATGTAGAGGTGAATTTAATCAAAATGAGTTAAAACATGGGACAGTCACCATGTATAGTGTAAAAATAGTTTACCTGGCTGGGCACGGTGGCTCATGCCTGTAATCCCAGCACTTTGGGAGGCTGAGGCAGGCAGATCACCTGAGGTCAGGAGTTCAACACTAGCCTGGCCAACATGGTGAAACCTCATCTCTACTGAAAATACAAAAATTAACCAGGCATGTGGTGTGCGCCTGTAATCCCAGCTACTTGGGAGGCTGAGACGAGAATTGCTTGAACCCGGACGCAGAGGCTGTAGTGAGCCAAGATCGTACCACTGCACTCCAGCCTGAGTACCAGAGTGAGACTCCATCTTAAAAAATAAAAATAAATAGTTTACCTGGGCAGGCATTCCAAAATTTTTGCATAGATGATCACATGAAACAATCACTGTGCAAAATATGGAGGAGAACTCATAATAATCACACAATTTGTATCAGAAAAAAATTAGATTTACTTTGCTTCATGTGATTTTATGAGTTGACAGTATTCTCTTAAAAGGAAATGCATATGTCACAACAAGAAGTATATTGGGGAAGTCTTGTTTTTCTGAAGGGAAATACCACCAGCCTGCTTTCATAGGCAATGATAAAGCCAGGAAGGAAAATTCACAACCAAATAGTATACACCCTATCTACTGAATTCTTCTGATTCCTTCGCAACACAAGTCTAAATCCTGCTTAGCCTAAACCCTGCTTCGCCTAAACATAGCTATAGCCAGCGATGGGCAAATTCTGTTTGCTGTCAGCATGATAGAATAAGAAGCAGAAACCCCCAGCAGTGGGGTAAGAGTGCACCCTTCATCCCCTCAAAATGCTGCGTAACCCCCCTCCCTCTCCATGCCCATGAAACAACTTTACAATCACTTGTTAGTGAATTTCTCGTTCAGCGTTGTTTCTTTTTGTCCATACTTAAAGTCATTTGTTTGCTTTGAAGAGAAAGCAAAAAAAAAGAGAAAATCATTTGAAATCACTACCCATTAAAAAAACTACAGTGGAACGAAACAGTTGAGCGGTTTGGGATGTGTTTGCCCTGCCTGATGTCTAGTTCTTTGGACCATTGTAACTGTGAAACTATGGCTTAATACTGTTAAAGACCCCAAGGCTCAACTCTGTAGCCAGGGTGCACTTCAGGCTGCACGAATATCACACCAGAATGTCACGATTGTTCCTCGCTCCAGCTACGGAGTGAACAGAGTGTGAGACAGCACAGGTCTGGGTTGTATTTTTGCTGCCAGTTAATTTTGCATCGGGTCTACACAGTCCCTGCAGCCTCTGACTTCTCCCGTTGTAGAGATTTGAAATGGGGTGCCTGGTTCCTCTCATTTTTCCTTCAGTCTACCTAGCATACATTTTCCACACATTGGAGGGGTTGTCTGCACTGTTTTTCCCTGTTGCTGACGGAGGCCGGGAGGCCTTCTCATTAGTCTACCTTAAATGGATGGGATTCGCTGAGCAAGAAGAAAGCACGGGGACAGGTGTCTTAATGCATTTGGATAGTTTCTTTGGAGTGTGTGTGTGTGTGTGTGTGTGTGTGTGTGTGTGTCTTGGTGAAGGTGGGGGCTGCATTTTTACCAAGCCTTTTCATCATCAAGTTTGCTTTGCAAACCTTCTGGCCTTGCACGCAGCAGAACAGTCCTTCCTGATAAAAGGTGGATGCTCTGTAACAGTTCTCTGTAAATTACCGTGTGTGGGGAAGTTCTGTTGAGGCTTAGTTTGATCTCCCATGGTGGACACATCTGTTCTGTATGTGAAAGGCATTACATGTGTGTTTTAAGCGGATAGGATTGGAAGCCTTCTCACAGTCCTTGTCCTCTGAGATTGCTGTTGAGCTCTGCTCAGCTGTTGTAGCTGAATGCTTTTTTGTGCTAAACACTGGGCAGCCTCGCGTGTTGCTAACATGCTTCTGGGACCCCGTGACTGCCGTCGGAGGCCGCGCACACAGGCGGAGTGCCTTTGCGGGTTCCGCACCCCTTGGCAAGCCGGAACTGGGAACCCCGTGGGGTGATCCCGCCTTCTCTTGGGGGGTTGGGGAAGGGAGTGCCTATTTTTAATCCTGTCCATTTGTTGCACAATGGAAATCACTGTGATTTGTACATATGCCCTAGGAAAATTTTACTGCTGTCTAATTTATGTAATAATACTGTTGATTCCAGGTTTGTTTAATAAAACTTTGTATCTTTTAAGAAGTCCGAGTCTGGTCTGCTTCTGTCTCCAGACAAGCTGTGGCTTTTCTCCTTTGGTCTAATCCAGGGATGGGCAGCTGTCTGGAGGGGCCAGATAGCAGATACTTTCTGCATTGTAGGACACACAGTCTCTGTTGCACAGAGTGCAAAAAACCTGCCATAGGTAGGCACGGAGGTGCACGCCTGTCATTCCAATGCTTTGGGAGCCAAGGCAGGAGGATCGCTTGAGCCCAGGAGTTTGAGACCATCCTGGGCAATGTAGCAAGACCCCCATCTCTACAAAAATTTAAAAATTTGTCGGGAGTGGTAGCATGAGCCTGCGACTACTCAGGAGGCTGAGGCGGGAGGGCCGCTTGCGCCCAGGAGTTTGAGCTGGCTTTGATCTATGCTTGTACCACTGCCCTCCAACCTGGGTGACAGGACAAGAACCTGACTCTTAAAAATCAAAAAGCCCTGTAGACACTATGTAAACAAATGGGCATGGCTGTGTTCCAATGAAGTTTTATTGACAAAAATAATCAGAGGGCCAGATTTAGCCTGAGGGCCAGCATTTGCTGATTCCTCTTGTAGCCTGTGATGCCCTCATCATCATGAATGAATGAAATGACACCTAGGTTTCTG